CCCAGAGGGCCACTACAACCCCTATCATCCACCCAGAGGGCCACTACAACCCCTATCATCCCCCCAGAGGGCCACTACAACCCCTATCATCCACCCAGAGGGCCACTCCAACCCCTATCATCCACCCAGAGGGCCACTCCAACCCCTATCATCCACCCAGAGGGCCACTCCAACCCCTATCATCCACCCAGAGGGCCACTCCAACCCCTATCATCCACCCAGAGGGCCACTCCAACCCCTATCATCCCCCCCAGAGGGCCACTCCAACCCCTATCATCCCCCCAGAGGGCCACTACAACCCCTATCATCCCCCTGTTGCCAGAGGTTTCATTTAAAGTGCCAGCATAGGGTTGGGTGCCAGAGGTTTCATTTAACGTGCCGGGATAATGAAGTGGGCAAGTGTTCACGATTGCATTGCTTGTGTGAGTCAGGAAGTGATGTGTTCTGTGACCCAGCTCCATTTCAAACTCTGTAACCACTTCCTGCTTTTTTGTTCCTTCCTTATAAGGGTATATTCATTCTAAAACACGCCGTATGTGTCTGGCATGGGGGATACACCGCATTGCTTTGTGCTGGCTGTGTAAAGCAGCGTCTCGGATACTGGGTTCTGCAGGGTAAAGCCCTCGGGTTAGGCTAGTGTTTGTGGAGCCAGCCCACGGTTTGCTATTTCCTTTGTGGCTCAGTGAGTCATGGTCAGTGCACTTCCTGATTTATATTTTCAGTCTCTGCAGAGAATGGCGGGGAAACCATTGCTCAGTTTACTTCTGTGTATCATTTATCCATTTTATAGTCTACCCCAGGGTTAGGCAGCCTTTGGCATCTCCCGTAAAGCTCTTACATCCATGGTGCTGGCAAAGCATTAAGAAAGATGTAGTCCACAACATCTGGCATTGTACCAAGGTTGCCTACCCGATCCCAGGAACTAGGTCAGATTTGCTCTGCTACCCGAAATAATGCTGGTGCTGACAATAGCCCCCAATCCCCCCGCCAGTCCTGATTGCCATTACTGTCCCATCACCCTGACAGCAGTGCTTCCATCTGGTTACTTATACCACAGCTTCTTTCACTTAAACCCCTATTATCCATGTTACATTTTAATATCCACAGCCTGCATCGTGTCTTCACAATGAATGGTGCCTCCTGTCTGTCTGTCTTATTCTCACTTATCTGCAGCAGGAATGTAGTCAATTTTTAAATGGCTGAAATTCCAAGTCAAAATGAAATGGACACAGAGTGGTTAAAGGGTATTCCATACTGATGTAAAGGCCTAGAGGCCATCCTGTGCTGCTGGCTAATTGTGCTCTGGTTGTGTGTAGCTGCTTATTATATGTGCTGCAATGCTGCACTTGTTGAATGGTGTCCTCCCTAGGTAATACACACTGTGCTCTTCTAAAGCGAGTGTGGGCCTGTCCCGAATCCATCGCCTGGAGCGTCTGTGCATTCCTTCCTGCATGCTCGCTTCTAAAGGTTATTAAAGGAACACTCCCTGGGTGCATAAAATGCAATGAGTTTTTGTTCTTTCTTTTCTCTGTTTAAATCGAATAAAATTTTAAATAAAATGCCTTTGGAGGAAAGAAGTCTGTTTACTATGCATTACAGTCCAAACTGTTGTTCGGCATGAAATCGTATTCGTTATGTAGCAAGCAGCTGGATCTTTGCAATATATTCATTTTAATTGAACCTGTGTCTGCAGAGATGGCATGCACATGAAAAAATACCTTAATCCCTTTGTTATTCTGCAAATCTACACACAATGAATACCAGTGAATTAAAGTGGTGATGTTGCTTGGAGTCTGTGTGTGCAGTTGTTTAATATGCACATAGAAACATAGAAACATAGAATGTGACGGCAGATAAGAACCATTCGGCCCATCTAGTCTGCCCAATTTTCTAAAAACTTTCATTAGTCCCTAGCCTTATCTTATGGTTAGGATAGCCTTATGCCTATCCCATGCATGCTTAAACTCCTTTACTGTGTTAACCTCTACCACTTCAGCTGGAAGGCTATTCCATGCATCCACTACCCTCTCAGTAAAGTAATACTTCCTGATATTATTTTTAAACCTTTGTCCCTCTAATTTAAGACTATGTCCTCTTGTTGTGGTAGTTTTTCTTCTTTTAAATATAGTCTCCTCCTTTACTGTGTTGATTCCCTTTATATATTTAAATGTTTCTATCATATCCCCCCTGTCTCGTCTTTCCTCCAAGCTATACATGTTAAGATCCTTTAACCTTTCCTGGTAAGTTTTATCCCGCAATCCATGAACCAGTTTAGTAGCCCTTCTCTGAACCCTCTCTAAGGTATCAATATCCTTCTGAAGATACGGTCTCCAATACTGTGTACAATACTCCAAGTGAGGTCTCACCAGTGTTCTGTATAATGGCATGAGCACTTCCCTCTTTCTACTGCTAATACCTCTCCCTATACAACCAAGCATTCTGCTAGCATTTCCTGCTGCTCTATTACATTGTCTGCCTACCTTTAAGTCATCAGAAATAATCACCCCTAAATCCCTTTCCTCATATGTTGAGGTTAGAACTCTATCAAATATTCTGTACTCTGCCCTTGGGTTTTTACGCCCAAGATGCATTATCTTGCACTTATCCACATTAAATGTCAGTTGCCACAATTCTGACCATTTTTCATACAGAGATATTGCCATCAGAGCTGTATCTCCTCCCTCCGGCAGGGTCATTAGTACATCTTTAGCCAGCGCAGTGCAAGCGTTACAGAGCTGACGCTGCCAGCCACTGAGTGCATCACCTGGCGGGACCCAGGTAGCAGGGCAAACCGCTGTATGCAGCCAGACCACTCCAGCTCATTGAAGTGGTCTGTTGCAAACTCCCAGCACCCTTAACCCTGAGCATGTAATTTTTGCAGTCTTAACAAACTGTAATACTTATCTGCTAGGGTTAACTCCTCCTCTTGTGGCTGTCTACCAGACAGCCACTCAAGTGACATCCAGTAGGATAAACAATGCTGGACGTCCTCACGCTATGCATGAGTACTTCCAGCGTCTCCAGAATCCCTATAGGAAAGCAATGAATAATGCTTTCTTATGGGGAAATCCTAATGTGAGCGCAACCATTGCCGCGCATCAGGTCTCCCCTGCTGGCTGACATCGTCAGGGAGGAGTGTTTTGTGGAGCTGAGCCAGTGCAGAGGTATATCTGGGCTGGACTCAGGTAAGTGACAGACAGGGTTATTAACACCCTTCTGCATCACGATGTGGGGGTTTCGATTGAGGCGGAAGCTATAGTGCCAGGAAAACGAACCACTTCATTTACCAAACACTGATGTTTAAGCAAATACAAAAATGTGTACATTATATATAAAACAATTTAAGTTATTATCCCAGTTTGAGCGATTAATCAATTAAACTGGAGATAGTTCACCTTGCAATAATTTCATCTTTATGTTTCTGTTGCTGTATAACAAAATTAATTCTGATATAACTGTCATCCCATCTGAAAAGTTATCCTAAATATGAATTTTTTATCTGGTTGCAAATATAGGGTATAACAACTAGCAAGAATGAGTCTTTACATTTACAAAAAAAATTTAAACCATTGTTGGTACAGCTTCACAGCTTGCATGGGGCCCTCTGGGTGCTGCTCCAAGTTAAACCATTGTTGGTACAGATTCACATCTTGCTTGGCGCCCTCTAGGTGCTGTCCCAAGTTAAACCATTGTTAGTACAGCTTCACAGCTTGCTTGGTGCCCTCTGGGTGCCGTGCCCGCTTTGATTGTTTTGGGAAACCTAGTTAAGCAGTACTGCGCCAACTGTTTGTTTTTCTTGCGCCTGAGATGTTCCTTTAAAGGAACCCTATACGGTCAGGAACACTAACATGTATTCCTGACCCTATAGTGTTAAAACCACTATCTATCCCTCCTTCCCTCCTAAATATAGTAAAATCTTACTTTTTGTCTGCAGCTGCTGGCTCTATCCGATGTGCCTGCTTGGCTGACATCATCAGAAGTGGTGATCTCGACCAATCACAATTCTTTCCTATAGGATTTTCTGAGTCTGTCAAGGAGGTAGATTAGTGACCGAGCCAGCACAAGCCAAACACAGCCCTGGCCAATCAGCATCTCCCAATAGAGATCCATTGAACCAATGCATCTCTTTGAGGAAAGTTCAGTGTCTCCATGCAGAGGGTGGAGATACTGAATGTCAGTCACACTGTGCAGCACTGCGACAGGAAGCATCTCTAGCAGCCATCTGAGGAGTGGCCAGTGGAGGTATCCCTAGGCTGTAATGTAAACACTGCATTTTCTCTGAGACAAACCGTGTTTACTGAAAAAAAAAGCCTGAAGGGAATGGCAGTGGCGTAATAAGGTGTGTGTGTGTGTGTGTGTGTGGTGGGGGTGGGGGCGGGCAGACAAGGGCAGGGGTGGGGGGTGGTGCCTGGGGCGCGCTTTGACAGGGACCGGGCCGCTTGCAGGAGTCTCCACGTTCATCAGCATATCCTCTGTTCTCGCGACACTCTCTCAGATCGCGAGAACAGAGGACATGCTGGTGCTAAATGGGAAGCAAACGTGAAGACTCCTGGGCCCCTCTTCACTGGACCACCAGGGAATGTAGTGTGTTCTCCTCCCTGGACACGGGTAAGGGAGGAGACGGGGGAAACAAACTATACACACAGTGCAGACACACACAATGTCTGTGTGTTTGTATCTGTGCATGACCGTGTTTCTATGTATCTGCATGTGTATACCTACGTGTCTGTGAATCTGGATGTGCATCTGTGTGTGTGTGTATATTTGAGTATATGTGCATAGATCTCAACATTTCGCCAACACTACACACAAATACACCCCTGCATCTAAATATCAACACTACATAAACCACACTACACAAAAATGCATGCCTGCATTCAAACACCAACACTACATGCAAATACACCCCTACATTCACTCCCACATACTTAATACAAAAACATGCTTACATTCAAACACATTCACAGTGCTAAAAATACAAATACTCAATGCTCCTTTTTTTTTTTTTTTTTTTTATAAATATATGGGTGTTTTTTACATTTTAAAATGGGGGCAGGGTGCCAAATATAAGATCTGCCCCGGGTGCCAAATGCTCCAGGTACGCCCCCGAGGAATGATTTGATTAGCTGTATACTATACAATAAGCTGTATAATGTACAATAAGCTGTAGTTGTTCTGGAGACTATAGTGTATCTTTAAATATCTTTTTGGGGAGGCTAGCTCTTTGGGGCTGGCCACAGACTTTGATTCTTACAAGCGGACGTGTTTTACCTTGCAGATACACCAAACTTGGATATGCTGGGAATACGGAGCCACAGTTTATCATCCCATCATGTGAGTACTCACCTCTTGGCAGTTTAATGTTTGAGTAGGCTTACTTCAGTGAGCTGTTTTGTGAAGACAAGTGTAACTTTTTTTTTCTAAGGTATCGCCATCAAGGAATCTGCCAAGGTTGGTGACCAAGCTCAAAGGCGCCTCATGAAAGGAGTCGATGACCTGGACTTCTTTATTGGGGACGAAGCAATCGATAAACCAACCTATGCTACTAAGGTATTGGTGCGGGATGAGGGCTCATCTGGGGCTACAGAACGACCACATAAATGCATTTTACCAGGAATAAACGTGTTCTATTTTGTACCTTGGTAGCCTGATACACATTACAGCTTGTATATATTGTCCCCGCGCTTTCTCATCATGCTCGTGTTTGGGTATTGAGTCACGCTCCTTTTTTTTCTTTCTTTTTTTGTAGTGGCCGATTCGTCATGGTATAGTGGAGGACTGGGACCTCATGGAAAGATTCATGGAGCAAGTCATCTTCAAGTATCTTCGAGCTGAACCTGAAGATCATTACTTTCTTTTGGTAGGGGTTATCGAGCAGTTTATTACATACAATATCCGTGCAGACATCACTGGATAGAATATTCCCATTTAATTTCTTAACAGAAAAAAATATAATCTTTCCAAATAAAGTTAACCTGTCGTCAATTTCTATACTTCTTTTAAGTCAGCCATAAATGCATTGAATACATCATCTATCTCCGATATAATCTCCTCACTCCGCCATGTGGGTATCACTCCAGTCCTGCCTTAGCTTAGCCCGGTCCCCTCTGTGGTTGGCTTTACTAAACTCCTACGTAGTATCTGTGCTTTCTATGTGTGGAGAGCAGAAGGCCCACCGTGGGAACGCTCTTCTGCTCTCCCTTGTCAGTTGTTCTATGCTGAAGAATTGATTGACAGGTGGATATGACATTCTCCATAGAGAGGATAATGAGGGTGTCCTTGGATCTGAGAAGGAAGTAAATGGCTGTTGACGTTCTCCCGTGTGCATTATTTAATACAGGTCACTTTAGATTTTTCTAGAGGCAGACAAATCGCTTGATCTCAGTCTGAATGAAAGGATGTGTCTAGTTTTCATGATAGTGAGACGTTTCTCGCAGGAAGCACCTGATTGCACGTCATTTGATGTCACTCTCCATCTGTAGATACTGCCTTCCTGTTTCGTTAACTAGTGTTTAGCGCATGCTCTGGGCAGCATTTGGGCAGTGTAAGTTATTTTGTTTATTATCTACCTGTTTATGTATAGACGGGACAAGTAATATGTTTATTTTAGTAGATTATTTGAGGTGTGTGTGTGTGTGTATAAAGTGACTGAAGCCGGATATATTACTGTGACATGCTAAGTTGCTGCTGACTTAAAAAATAATGGTGAAAAAGATTGAATAAAATCTGTTACTTTTGTCAGTGTTGCTGTCATGAAAATGTTGTGCAGGTAAAAATACTGGTTTTACTGAAAGTTCTGTGAAAATATGATCCCTCTTGTGGTTAATTCAGCAGCTGTTATTTTACGCTTATAGAAACGTCCTTTAAACATCAGCAAGTGACAACTAGAGCTGGCTAGAATATCATAACCCTCTAGACTGTAAGCTCATCAACCTATTGTTCCTGTAACATTTTGTAACTGTCTGTTATTGTTAAATCCCCCTTTATAATATTGTAAAGTGATGCGCAATAAGTTGGCTCTTTATAAATACCAATAATAACCCTTCCATTACATCACAGCAAATATCTCTATTAACACAATCAATGGCAGCGATATCACAGGAGAAGTATTTATCTTGCACTCACAGCAGCTCCAGTGACAAATGTCACTCCTTTCTAACATGTGAGCACAGTTAAGCATTTGTGCCCATATTAATGAGATTGCATTAGAGTTGGTGTGATTTTACCATATCATCAATATTTACTATAGGCATCAATACAGCTTTAGATTAATTAAGTAGTTTTGGTGTATAGATCATGCCCCTGCAGTCTCACTGTTCAATTCTCTGCCATTTGGGCGTTAAAACACTTTTTCTGTTTCTTCGGCCTTGCATGAAAAAATGGTTACTTTCTCAATCACATGTTAGCTTACTTTAGAAGTTTATCTCATGCTCTATAAAATGAACATTAACCCCTTAAGGACACGTGACATGTCATGATTCCCTTTTATTCCAGAAGTTTGGTCCTTAAGGGGTTAAAGGGACACTATAGTTACTCAGACCACTTCAGCTCAATGAAGTGGTCTGGGTGCCAGGTCCCCCAGGTTTTAACCCTTCAGATGTAAACATAGCAGTTTCAGAGACTCAGACAGCCGCTAGAGGCGCTTCTGCGACTCTGGATGCGAAAATCGCATTCAGCGTGCAGAACGTCAATAGGAAAGCATTGAGAAATGATGTGTCAGTCACAACCAGGGGTGGTGTGGCCAGATCTGTATAAACTCCTAAATGACACAGAATTGAGCAGTGAGATTGCAGTGGCATGATCTATACACCAAAACTGCTTCATTAAGATAGTTGTTTTGCTACCTGTAGTGTCTCATTAAGTAGAGGTATTTCATTAGTGTAACAACCACCAACCTGGCATGATGGCTGCATTGTTGGCACTGTACAATAGAGTGGTAAGTAGTTATCTTTTATAGCTAATTATATTTTTGTTTTGTCCCCCTACCACTGGTTTAACCCTTTCTTTTCTTTTACTTTGCCAATGCTAGACTGAGCCTCCACTGAACACCCCTGAAAACCGGGAGTACACTGCAGAGATTATGTTTGAGTCTTTCAATGTTCCCGGATTGTACATTGCGGTTCAGGTGAGTGATCTCTCCGGCTACTGATTTACCATGTTAGTCTCTGTACATTGCGGCTCAGGATTTTGACTGTTCTTGGATGAGTGGAACTTCTGTTGGGTCTGAGGTTTATCATGTCATGAACACCTGCTTGAGTGGGGTTTTACGGCTTAACATTAAGGGAGAGTGTTTATATGTAATGGACTGTATGTGTGCCCTACTTGGTGAGTGTGAAGCATTCCTTTTTAATGAGCTCTGTGTGTTGGATTTGTGTCAAGGGTTCTGTTAATGGTCTGTTTGGTGGGCCATGCGCCTCAGCGGGTTCTCTTGGTGAGCCGTGCGCCTCGGCGGGTTCTATTGGTGAGCCGTGCGCCTCGGCGGGTTCTATTGGTGAGCCGTGCGCCTCGGCGGGCTCTATTGGTGAGCCGTGCGCCTCGGCGGGCTCTATTGGTGAGCCGTGCGCCTCGGCGGGCTCTATTGGTGAGCCGTGCGCCTCGGCGGGCTCTATTGGTGAGCCGTGCGCCTCGGCGGGCTCTATTGGTGAGCCGTGCGCCTCGGCGGGTTCTATTGGTGAGCCGTGCGCCTCGGCGGGTTCTATTGGTGAGCCGTGCGCCTCGGCGGGCTCTATTGGTGAGCCGTGCGCCTCGGAGGGCTCTATTGGTGAGCCGTGGTCGGAGGCGTGTTCTATTGGTGAGGCGTGTTCTATTTGGTGAGCCGTGCTCGGAGGCGGGTTCTATTGGTGAGTCGTGCTCGGAGGCGGGTTCTCTTGATGGGCCGTGCGCTGCAGGTTTGATTATAGGATTTTGTTAAATTGTGTAATTGGTTATGTTTATACTTTCTGTTTGTGATTTTTCTCTCTAGGCTGTACTCGCTCTGGCTGCTTCTTGGACATCCAGACAGGTTGGAGAGCGCACTCTGACCGGAACTGTCATAGACAGTGGGGATGGGGTCACTCATGTCATTCCTGTGGTATGTGTTATTCAAAACTTAAAATGAAAGCTTTTTATATAGCTTTTGTTTGTTTTTTAAATGTGATCAGGGATATTTGCAAAGGTTCTCTATTGGTTTCCGTTATGTCTCCCTTTCTGTGTTCAGATCTTCCTCCCGGGCTTTTCCCCTTTTTATAGGTTTGGATCCCCTGAAATGCACTGCCGATACCCCTGCTCTGTAGATTCCTCTACATTGCCATTGTTTGTTAATGCCTGTCTTTGTCCTCCAGGCAGAGGGTTATGTGATTGGCAGTTGTATTAAGCACATCCCCATTGCTGGCCGCGACATCACATACTTCATTCAGCAACTGCTCAGAGACCGAGAGGTGGGAATTCCTCCCGAGCAGTCTCTGGAAACTGCTAAGGCAGTGAAGGTAAGCGTAACTTGGGTTATGACAAGAATGGTACGTTTCCGTGATTGGGGCGGTTTATGGATTGTAATACAGGGAAATGAAAGACTAGCTGGGTATGGACATAGACAAATGCCGAGAGAGATCCCCAGGGTGATATGATAGAAATATTTAAATACATTAAGGGAATCAATGCAGTAAAGGAGGAGACTATATTTAAAAGAAGAAAAACTACCTCCACAAGAGGACATAGTCTTAAATTAGAGGGACAAAGGTTTAAAAATATCAAGAAGTATTACTTTACTGAAGTGGTAGAGGTTAACACAGTAAAGGAGTTTAAGTCCTGTCCTAATGTGTTTTACACCCCACCTCCTATAGAATGTAAGCTAGATTGATTCAACCTATTGTTCCCGTAAGTTTATTTGTAATTGTCCTATTTATAGTTAAATCCCCCTCTCGTAATATTGTAAAGCATTACGGAATCTGTTGGCACTATATGAATGGTAATAATAATAAGCATGCGTGGGATAGGCATAAGGCTATCCTAACTATAAGATAAGGCCAGGGACTAATGAAAGTATTTAGAAAATTGGGCAGACTAGATGGGCCGAATGGTTCTTATCTGCCGTCACATTCTATGTTTCTATGTTAGGAGCAGCAGGAAGATGAATGTATCTTTTACTTATAGGAACGTTTTAGCTACGTCTGCCCTGACTTAGTTAAAGAATTCAGCAAGTATGACACAGATGGCCTGAAGTGGATCAAGCAGTATACCGGGGTTAATGCTGTCTCCAAGAAGGAGTTTAGTATCGACGTTGGTTATGAGAGGTTCTTGGGGCCTGAAATATTCTTTCACCCAGAGGTAAGAGCCATATCATGAATATATATATATATATATATATATATTTTTTTTTTTTCCTATCTCTTTGCCGCTAAGAATCCTTAATTTTATTGTCCCAGCATATATCCTGTTTTGTTTTGTATTTTATTCCCCAATTTACTGATCAAACAAATATGCATCCAGCTTCAGCTGCATTAGTGAAGTAGTGATTTTAGGGACCTGTTTATCACCTAATTCCAATTGCAATCTGGAAATGCAAGTTAGACAAATGCTTCTTGGAACAGGGCTAGGCAACTTTCAGCACCCCAGATGTTGTAGACTTCTCAAATGATTCTTTGCAAGAATTATAAAGAGATGTAGCCTACCCCTGCCTTAAACCTATGATAATAAAATGAAAATCTAGATCTGCAGACGTGCCTACTGTTAGTATAGATGTCATGTCTTCCTGGCTGTCCTCTCCTGCAGCTCTGCGTCTGTACAGAGTAGGAGAGTGAAAAGGGAACATGGCCCAAGAGTGTAGTTATTATTTCTGTCTATAGGAAAAAGCAATGATGATAATGCCGCATATCCAAGACCAAAACCTATCAATTGAGCTCCAGTTGGATTCGTTTCCATAACGTCCTTTTTTTATCTTTAAATATACAAATTAAAGTTTGTCTGAATATTGAATTTATTATACAATTAATCTGTTTTCTAGTTTGCCAATCCAGATTTCACCCAGCCAATTTCTGAAGTGGTGGACGAGGTAATCCAAAACTGTCCTATTGACGTCAGACGTCCTCTTTACAAGGTATGGGAAGAAATGACTTTATTTTACACACTAACACTATTTATTATCAGTGCATTCTGGGCATGTTCACGAGATCCGTCTTATTCCCTTTGAACGCCAGTAACCTTGAAGAGACTCAGTAGTCTGAATTGACTTGGTTTTTCTTCTCATGGAACACTTTATTGGTATTTTCACATTACAGCTGTTGGCACATTTCATTATAAAATGCAGTTCATCACAATAGTTTGACAAAGAAAGTGTATTATGCGAAGCATATATGATAAATGAGAACCTGACATAAAACAGTTTCATTGATTTCAGTGACAAAGATTATAGACACAACTGCATGAAAATAGTTTTATTACAAAGTGAATATTGTATAAAAGACATGAATCCAAACGAGTCATCGGTCATGTGCATTACAAAGGACCAGCAAAAAGCTACAGCACCAAGTATCAATGCAGCATGTTGGCAACTGTTTAGTATTAAAACTGATTTTTAATGAGAGTGAACTGTATAACTGTTCTAACAGCAGACACCCACAGCCTGCAAACCAGGGTCTAATCAAAGAGAAATCTAGCTGTCTTTAACCCCCTCAGGACCGTCATCGGAAAAATACCCTTGAGGACCAATGACGATATTTACTTATCTGATTGCCGCATTTCTCCCGGTGTCCCCCCTTGACGAATTAGGACCCGCGACCATGTGATCGCTCTAACAGAGCAGTCACATGGCCGCAATAGGTGCCTGTGTATCTGCCTGCAGGGGGACTGTCTGTGCTGTGTATTTTTATATTAATATAGAAATACACTTATAATTACACGTGTGTGTGTATGTGTGTATATATATATATATATATTATACATAACTATAATCAAATAATAAGTAAATATAAATGTAAAAATAAAAAAATATACTAACTGTATTTTGATAATATATTTATATCAAAATACACTTAGAATGAAATTATATGTGTGTGTGTGTGTGTGTATATCCATATACAAAATTACATAAATAATTTCAAAAAATATACACGTAGACTTCAAATATAGATGTTTGTGTGTATATATTTTTTTTGTATAAAGGCCAATTTAGCCGTATATGGAGTAGTTTCAAGTGAGAACGTAAGATAGTATAACTGAGCAAAGTCGGTTGTGTTGTGCCGATACCGACGATACGGTAGGCCTGTAAATAAAGAGGGCAAAAATTGAATAATCGAAAATTTAATACAGTCAACAATTTATACAATTTCTTAATTCTTGTGTAGGTTTTGGTATGTAGTATAGTGAAGGGTTAAGACCTAGCCTGGTTAACAGAGATCTGATGTATCGCATGAAAGTCACAGTAGTGAGTACAGAGCCTTTGAGTGAAAATAGGTGTAGCAATGGTATTGATGAGGTAAGTGAAAGGTAGGAATCCAGTGTTGCTACTGGACACCATTTGGTGTGTGTAGGAAAATAGGTGATCTCCACGGGAGGTGCATGTGTGCTTGTTTTTAACTGATGTAATGCCAGTATGTAGTAATCCATGTGTTTGCGTATGTGTGTGCGTAGCAGACATGTCTTTTTGAGTGGCGGTGATAGTAGTGAATTCCCTTGGCCTGAGGAACCCGTAGAAAGCTATGTACATGGCCGTTTTGATGACTGCGTTGGCAGTAGAGTGAAAAGGTTTGGAGTCTAACAGGTCGGATAATAACTGGAAAAGGTTATCTATAGGTAATCTCTGTGGAAGCGGTGGAGGGACGGATTTCTGAATACCTCCAAGTATGTTCTTTACCTGATAAGATGACATGAAACTCTGTGTATTGGGTTGTAGAGTGAGCATATGATGTTGAATGCCTGTCAGGTATAATTTGATTGTGTTGTAAGATAAGTGTAATGTAAGGTGGCAAAAAGAAGCAAAGGCTATAATGGATGTCATGACGAAAGGATGCGTTATGTCGTGGTTGGATAGGAATCTTGTGAAGAGTGTGAAGGCTCTGTTGTATGCTTTGTGAGTGTTGGATGATAGTGCCAGTTTGGACAGATCCCTGCTATGTTGCATAATTATTTCTAGTCCATGGTTAGCTGCTGGAACGGAGGGGCGGCTGTGGCTGTAATTGCTGCTGACGGGAGTGCTTGCTGAAAAGCCTGAAAGTTGAAATGAGACAGACGGTCAGCTGCTATGTTAGAAATGCCTGGTATATAAAAGCAGACCAAGTAAAAATTGTGGCGTGCTGCTAACCACGTGAGCTTCCTGAGAAATCTCATTGTTAAGGATGATTAGCAGCCTTTGTTAATGATGCGACATGTTGCTTGGTTGTCTGTGTGGCAACGGACTGATAAGCCTGACCATTAATGTCCCCATGCCACGGCAGCTGCTACAATGGGATAAATCTCAAATAGAGCTGAGGTTGTAAAAAAGCCTTCTAAGTCATAGACTTCTGCCGGCCACTTACCCCAAAGCCAATTGTTTCCTAAGATTGCTGCGAAACCTGTGGTAGACGCCGCATCTGACCATATTGTTGGAGACGTGTCAGTCAATTCTGGTAGGAACAAGCTTTTACCATTCCAGGTGGTCAAGAATTCTTTCCACAAAGATAGGTCTGCCGTGGCATGCTCATCCAAGGATAGTCTATAGTTTTCATGTTTGAAATGTGGAAAAAGTCAGAAGTCTGGATATGAAAGCCCGCCCTTGAGGAATGATGCGCATTGCAAAGTTCAAAGAACCTATGAGGGATTGGAGTTCCTTGCGGTTGCAATTACCCATCAAAATGTAATGGTTAATGCTGTTAAGTATGTTTGTGATTTTTGTCTTGTGGTAAACTAGCCTGCATGGAGGCAGAGTCTAATTGTATACCTAGGAATGTAATAATTGTATCTGGGCCTTCGGTTTTCTTGTTGAATATCGGGACTCCAAGGTGGTCAAACAACCTAATAGTTGCTTTGAGACTCCTGGGGGGAAGGGAGTTTGCTTCAATCAGTAAGAAATCATCCAGATAATGGATGACTATGGGGCATCTAGACACATTAAGTAACAACCAGCACAATGTTTCCGCAAACGTGTCGAAGATTTTGGGGCTACTTTTAGACCCAAAGCTTAAGCGGGAGAAAAAGTAATAGTTATCTGCCCATTTTATGCCATGTAAGTGCCATAGGGTGGGATGGATAGGTAGTAGTTTAAAGGCATTGGTAATGTCTGTCTTACTTAGCCATGCTCCGATCCCTGCTTGCATAATGGCTGTAATAGCATGGTCTATAGTGGCATATGGCAGGGAAAACTCTTCAGAGGGAATAAGAGAGTTCAGACTCGGTGTAGATGAGGTATGAGGGGCTGACAGATCTATTATGAGTCTTTGTTTGAGGGAAGTTTTCCCCGTGACTATCCCTATGGGATTTGTGCGCCATGCCGTAAAAGGTGGGGTTTTGAAAGGCCCGAACAGGAACCCTTCTGCCAGCTCTTGTGCTAGGAGTGTGTCTATGGCTGCTGGGTTTTGTTGTGGTGATTGTAAATTAGGGCATTCGAGTTGGCCTGTGGGCATATGTATAATGCCTGTATGAAACCCTTCTGAGAATCCAGGAATGAGAAAATTTACCATATGTCTGGAAGGGTGATTGGTTAAAAGTGCTGCAAAGACATGAATGTTAACAGACGTTAGGTACGGTTTAGGGTACATTTTATTAGGACACATGGTATGCGCATGTGCCCTGAAACAATGTGAACCAATATGCAGTGACCTACATGCACTATAGCTACATGTGCCCACATTGAAATTATTGCACACTTACGATTTACCAAAGAAAATGATAGGACGACCCAGTTTGTCCCTGGTGATTTTCTCAGTTCTACCCGCCTAGCTTGTGCTAGGTGACTGATTACGGTCGTCTGCCGTGTGAGAACAGAATTGGTAGTGTGAGTGGTAGAAGAGCAAGATGCACAAGCCGGTGTTTTAAGACCTGCGAAGTGTCTACAGAAAAGCTCTGTATCTAATCTGCTCCAGTTGATACGGGTACCATGCTGAGAGAGAGCTCCAGACACTTTAGTGGAAAAAGACCTATGGTAGTCATAAAAAGCAGATCCACCATATTACTTCCCCAGGTCCACCAGCTTGTGCATATAGCGATCAAATTCTTCCCTTCTATTAGGGTATACTTCACAAATTACATCTCTAAAAATACCAAAGGCTATCCCAAATTCTGGAATGGTCAGTTTACGGTTTAACCTTAGGTCTTTTATTCTGACCACTACAGAAACCTTGTCGTACATATAGGTTTTGTTCTCCACCACATCTTCGGAGGCAATTAGTAGGGATGCCAGGTTGACGTCTTTGTCTTCCAGGATGTCTCTCTTAATGTGGGCTGGGATGGTGTATGCAGGGTCAACGTCCTGATAATCTGAGGAGATAACCATACCCGTGGCCCGTGGATCGGTTGGTGCCTGTTGAGCAATATCAGGAAGAGGTCTTGGTGAGGTCTGTGGTGACTGCCTCAAGATTAGCCAGTCTGTCATTGACCTTGCCCATAGAGGTCATGAGTGAGGCCAGTATAGCCTGGATGTCACCTGAACTGGTGTTGCTGGGGCTTTCCCCTGCTTCCGTGTTGTCGATTTGTAGTATTAAGGAGTTTGAATAGTTCAGCTTTTCTTGCTGTGGCAGGGTAAGGGATTTGTCGCCTCCTTAACGCCGTGGTGATACGTGGGATCGTCCAGGATCTAATTGATGCTGGACTGGCAATGTCTCCTCTACGAGAGGGTGTCTCGACCCTAGTTGGGGTGGCATGAAGTGATAGCTCTTCATCACCTTCAAGAGACATACTTAAATAAAAGGAAAGATAGATTTATTATTTGAACATATTACTTTAGTACTGGCTACTAGCTATGCCGTGAGGCGAAACGATTATGCTTATTGTTTATTGGTGACAGGTGAGGCCCTTCTAGTTGCCAAGCGGCTTGAGAGGCTCTATCTATGGATGGCGCGAGGGGATTGTTGTGGCGGGATGTCGGCCTCTCTGTGACTGTAACCAGAAAATAGGAAAGGGAGTGACAGGTGAGGCCCTCTCTGTGCAACGTGCGAGGCGGCTAGCTCACGTGTGGCCCGAGGGGTGTTTGCTTCTGAGTTTGCAGCGGGGTGTTGGCCTCGCGGGACCACTAATCCTAAGCATGAATGCAGAAATGGGGGAATTAACTTTTGGCCCCTATGACTCTAATTGCCAGTACTTGTCTGTCCTGTTGGGGATTTGAATGGTTCTACTGTAAGCAGGTGTACGTACCTGGTAGTATAGGTTATTGAACCTGGTAATCCGTATAGGTAATAGTACCTTTTAACTAAATAGATGCACCGTATGAAAATATATACAAGTGACATAATTGTATTATCTTAATTATGTTCGTATTGACCTGTATAGGCCAGGAAATGGTGATTGTAAGATCTCCTTGACCCTGTATGTCGCCTTATAATGGTAGGAATTTGTAGTAGTAAAGGCAATTTGTATAAATGTATGTATACTTTCCTAGGGAGAAGTATGGTATATCTGTGAGATTGTGTATGGTGTACAGGAACTTAATGTGATATTTTAATAATGGTAATATCCTTGCCGACCTGAAGGTAGCAGTGTGGAATCTTTAACCATGTGAATACCCATATGTGTAACTGGGACCTGTTTGTTAACCCATTCGTAAGTATATTTCTCAGCATGTTACTATTATATTCCCCAACAATTGTCCGTTCGTGTGTTTAACCGTGCGAACTGGACAACATAAGACTAGCAGGGTATGCTTAGTATATGTGAGAATTGTTCGTGCGATGTGCCGAGTCCCGAACAGTAATTGACCGGAGAATCAGTAACTTGTATTTGTATAGCGTGTTCGTGCGTTTGACCGCACGAACGTCAGCATGTATGCAAAATTTTTAGCGATTAATTATATGTCATATAAGTACCGAACGTTGCAACGAAAATGCTGTGTAAGCGAAGCTGAACCCGGATGGATATAATATAGCGATATTTAAGTGCTGAAATAGCCAAACGCGTACAGTAAGTGAGGACCTGAACCGTATGTGATGCCGTGGGCCTTGTTGCCTGGCGTGACGGTTAGGTCTACTTACTGTTTAGTAGTCCCTAGGACGTGATCCGCGGCGATAGTAAGCAGTAGTTGCTCCAAAAGAAATCTGCAGAAGGATTCCTGGACACTGTTCAGCGATGGAAACCTCGTGGGACACAGAAGTATTCCAAAATGGCAACTGGATGAACCGGAAGTGCATTCAGACGCTGACCTTGAACGGTGTGGAGACAGATAAGGGATGCACCTTATATAGGGGAGTGGTTTAATACCAGCCCTTTCCACAAATACAGGCCAAACAGCCTTAACACACATATATACAATGCTGCACTCACTGTGTCTTCCAATGACTGCCTGGTGCTAGTTGGCTAAATATAGAAGGATAAAGTAGATGGCACTCCACAGTCTTTTTCATCAATAAAAAATAACTTATTGCTCCAATATGTCCTGATGAAGGTCTGAATTTGCAGACTGAAACGTTGAGTTTTAACTTGGAGCAATAAGTTTTTTTTATTGATGTAGATAACTTGAAAATGTTAAGTGGTCTTTCTTAAAGCATTTAACCCCTTAAAGACACATACACGTATTCAGCCCATGTCTCAAGTGTAAAACAGTACCCCCTATGTACAGGTTTTATGGTGTTTTTGGAAATTACAGGGTCAAATATAGAATGTTTAATTTTTCAGTTTTTTTCACATTGAAATTTGCCAGATTGGTTATGCTGCCTTTGAGACCGTATGGTAGCCCAGGAATGAGAATTACCCCCATGATGGCATACCATTTGCAATAGTAGATAACCCAAGGTATTTTTTTTAGTAGCCACTTAGTCATAAAAACTGGCCAAAATTAGCGTTCATCTTTGTGTGTGAAAAATGCAAAAAACTAATTTGAACGCCAATTTTGGCCACTGTTTGTGACTAAGTGGATACTAAAAAAGACTGGACTTAAAAATATTACATAAGTGTGTGTGTATATAGATGCATATATTTCGTTCTGTGTATTTTTCTATCAATATATATTATCAAAATACAGTTAAAACGAAATTACACATATATATTTTAACGTGTGTTAAATGAATGTTTGTTGCCCAGGTGCTTAGAGTAACCATGTGATTGCAATTCCCACCTTTCTCTTTGGTACCTGGATGCAAAGACTTGACTTTTTACATGTTTAGATCCATGGAATAAAACCATGGTTAATCAGTGTATGACATTCTCCGACACCTGTAATCACAGAGTGCTGGTCAATGCAAACTGAACAAGGTACCAGGAGAGATCGTTAATGGATTCCATTGGATTCTAGACTGATGGAAGGATTTGGCTCTAGAAGTAGACATTAACTTGTTTTTATGGCACACCACCTGTATTCTGCTAAACCGAGTAAAGGTGTTAGTCTTGTTCTAAGAGTTTATCAAAATCTTCCATAGATGGTGTCGTGTACTAAGTCTTAATGCTGTAAATAACTTTCTTCCTGTTTCCTTTCTAGAATATTGTACTTTCTGGAGGGTCAACGATGTTCCGGGACTTTGGCCGACGTTTGCAGAGAGATTTAAAAAGAACGGTAGATGCCAGACTGAAGCTTAGTGAGGAGTTAAGTGGAGGAAGGCTGAAGGTAATGAGATGGCACTTACTCAAAGTCTGGTCTTTGGGCTTTATTCTCCTGTAATTTAAATAAATATATATTTTTTTAATGTATTTATTTTTTAAGCCGAAGCCAATTGATGTCCAGGTCATCACTCATCACATGCAGAGATATGCTGTCTGGTTTGGAGGGTCCATGTTGGCGTCCACGGTATGTGTTTTTTGTTTGTTAATAACATAAAAGGCTGCTTTGGTTTAAAACAGGATAAGAAGATACTTGGTATTTCCAGTGGAAACAGGATTTTTTTTTTTTAGTAATTTCTGCTTCCAGTTTTTCTAATTAGCCTTAAACTTTGAATTTACTTTCCATTTTCACGTAAGTGGATAATGTTGCGAACCACAGGTAACCTGACCGGTTACTTCCACTGATTCTCTTCCTTCAGCCAACCAGGAACCATTTAAAATACAAAGAGACCCATCTTCCTTCCCAGTAACTGGACGACACACTGTCCTGGAGGCACAACAACCACTTTATTGGCCACACAAGGTTTTTATACATACCCCATTCAAGGGGTGTATCATACCAAAAACTAGTGTTCCTTCCTGGGTTCCCAGCACGGGAAAGGACTCTGTTCCATTTGTCCCCAACTCCCACCACTAAAGATATAGGGTTTCCCACGACTGCCGCTAGGGGGTCTTCTTCCCAAGAGCCTCTGTGCCTGGGAATCTAGGCACAGGAACAAGGGACGGTCCCTTTGCCTCCCAGTCACAGAAAGCCTACCCTCTGGAAAAGAGCTGATCTTTGTCCCTGCATGCACCGAAAAGCCCGCCCAACTTGCCAGTGCCCACACCAATCTCAGGGACTCTCACAGCGGTACCTCCCTTGACCGGTCTCTGCTTGCAAAGTCCCTGTGTGAAATCCTGCAAGGGAAGCGTCTCCTTTCGGAAAACGAATGCTTCTGGACGGCATTCGTCTATACGAAATAGCGGCCACCCAGGGGAGCATTCATTAATTACTTCCTTTGCTGGTTTCAAACGTAGGTTGCAAGTGAGAACGTTCTAATGGGCACTGGAGAGGTCCTCATTCGGGAAACTAACGAGTCGGAAAACAATCCACGAACGCTCCCCTTGGCTGACGTACGGCTGTACGAATGGCGGCCGCCCAGGGAAGCGCTCATTAATTGTTTCCCTTGCGGTTTGACACTTTTCTTGCGAGGTGTGAAGGTTCTAAACGTACATTCTAAATGAGGTACCGGGTTGGTCCCCGTTTGGGAAGTGAATGAATTCCCCTCGCGGAAGCACAAAAAGGGAAGGGAAGCGGGCACAATGTACGAAGAGATAGGGGAACACACGTAATATCACAAAGGCAATTCACAGACGGGCAGCAGTCCAGCCACAGATAACTCTGAAAAAACACATACCAGAAAGTAGGTAACTACAATGCAAAAAATAAAGAGAAAAACATAGCTCAATATTGCCGTGTACAAAATTATATTAAAATCTGTAAAAGTACACTCACAAACCCAAATTGATTGAAACTTTTACAGATTTTAATATTTTGTACACAGCAATAATTAGTTTTACTTCTTTCCCACAAATGGGTTTCTGATATACTTAGTTCATTGTCAGAGTTATCTGTACAAATATACCAACAGAAGAATGTTCTCGCTTTGTATAGTGCGATTTAATTAGCATAATCATTCTTTTACTATGGATGACTATTTCATTTTGGTTCTGGTTTTCTGACAATTTTAGTATTAAACTACTATATTATATTGACTTTTTTTTTCAACTTTCAATGATTGTCTACTTGTTTTTTCAGCCTGAATTTTACCAAGTGTGTCACACCAAGAAGGACTATGAAGAGATTGGGCCGAGCATCTGTCGTCACAACCCCGTGTTTGGGGTCATGTCCTAAGCTCTGTGTGTGAGGGGCCATCTGGTTTTCTTGTATGTTTGGACCGCTTGTTAACGTGTCCTGAAGCACAGTGCAAAGACCCCAGGAGTGGTTCGGGCCCCTTGGATAATTAATTCATCAAAATACAGTGGCTTGCATATGTTACTGGACTTTGTCAGCAACCATATGAACATGGTTTGTGCACATGTGTGTCTAAACAGTGCATGTGTGTGTTCCATGTAAAATCTATATAGAACATGGTACATGAGATCTGGAAAATTACTTTATCCTTGGACCAATTTGTAGCTTTCGGTTCCTTATTAAGCTGCTGTTAGGCTGAGGTTGACGGAACCAATCTGCTTCTATTATTCCCAATGCTTTCTGCTTACAAAGACTAGTGATTGATAAGTGCAGTTGTATGGTCGTTTTCTGATTAAAATAAATGGTTAAAAGAATGATTTGTGAAGCCTAAAAATATGGAAATAATAACCATGAAATCTTTTTACAAGCACTAGTTGTGTCTGTTTTATATCCTGTTCTCCATATTGAGGAGATTCCAGGTCTCTTCTGGTTGGTAATGTCCAAGGTTCAAGGTGCTGACTGTATGCACTAGGCTGTCAGTTGCTTGTAATTGATCAAACAATTGCACATTTTAGGACATTTTTCGTGGATTTGTAAATTTCCATCTTGGCTAATTGTCTAACTGCACTAATTGGGCTTGAAATTGGCAATTTACTTATCAATTGCTGTAAATTCAGACTTTCTACATTCTATATGAGCATTTTCTCTAAATGGTGAATTGTGATGTGAACGCTGAAATAAAATATCGCTGATGGAATAAAAGTCTTACAATTTTTTTCCTGTTTTTTTTTTTTTTTTTATCCTGAAATTTACAGTTGGGGAATCACAGCTTTGCTTAAAATGTACAGATACACAAAATACTGGCTGCTGGCAAGAAACCCTATTTGTATGAAGTGTGCCCTGCTTCCTTAAAGGAACACTATAAGTTTGTGTTCCTGACCCTATAGCAGAAAACCTTCGGTACTCCAGATGTTGTGGACTACATCCTCCATAATGTTCTTACACCCATAATGCTAGCAAAGCATCATAGGAGGTGTAGTCCAAAACACCTGGAGTGCCTATGGTTGCCTACGCCTGCCCTATAATGTTAAAAAGACCATCTTGCCCCAGCCCACCTATATATAGTAAAATCTTAACTTTATTCTAGTCTGCAGCTGCTGCCTCTGCTTCTGATCTGCCTTCAAGCCTGAAATAATCAGAAGTGAGCTTGTCAAGGAGGCAGATCAGGGGCAGAGCCAGCTCAAGTCAAACACAGCTCTGGCCAATCAGCATCGCTTCATAGATACATTGAATCAGTGCATCTCTGAGAAAAGTTCAGTGTCTGCATGCAGAGGGTGGAGACACTGATTGTCTGTCACACTGTGCCGCACTGCCCCAGGAAGCACCTCTAGCAGCCATCTGAGGAGTGGCCAGTAAAGGTATCACTAGGCTGTAATGTAAACACTGCATTTTCTCTGCAAAAATCCTGAAGGGAATGATTCTACTCACCAGAACAAATACAATAAGCTGTAGTTGTTCTGGTGACTATAGTGTCCCTTTAAATGAACATTATAGGATTATGAATAAAAATGTGTTTTCCCAAGTGCTCCGGTCACTGTAAAAAAAAAAAAAAAAAGGTATTTAACCTCCTCCAAAGGCTGCGCTGGTCTCCTCCCTCAAACTCTGCCTCCTTGATTGAGATCGTCTCCGTTAATCTAGTGTTTTCCCACAGGGAGGTTAGTGCACATGTGCGGTAAAATGCTACGCCAATCATATGGTCTCTGAGACCATCTGATTAAAATAGTTTCACTCTGCTAATTTACGGAAGCGCCACTCCTGCCAAATGCCCATGTTTTCAACTGCAGGGTAGGGGCATGGCACCAAGACAATTTAATTGAGATGACGTGGTCTGGGTGTGGGTGCATACAGTGGTCCTTCACTCTACATGTCTTAATTTTTAGCTTTTTGTTTTATCTTTCATATAGTCGCTTGATCTGGACACATTAAAAGGTTAGTGTCATTCTGTAAATATAGAACAAAATGTTACACAAAATATTTACATGCACTGGGAACACACAATCTATACTTAGAAACAGGCGTAGAAAATGAACAGTAGTCACATCTGAAAACCATAAAGACAAACCAATAACTCCAAATGTATAATAGTGTATCATGCAAAAGCAGAGCTGTAGAAAATAGGGTCATTGTAAAAAGCAGTGCGCACAAAAAGCTCTTACGCTAAAAAAGGGTCACCACAAAAAAGTCCTTGATTGTGAGTTCTGTCCAAAAGCAGACGTGTTTCGGCCCCCAATAGAGCCGTGTTCAGTGCCAAACCTCCCAGCCGTGTGTTTAACCTTTGGTATCCAAATGAATCTGATCCGGGAGGATGCAGCACATCCAGTCCGCTGGGAATGTAATTAAAGCGGTGTGGCTGAAATTATGTCTTATTGCTGTGATTCCTCAATAACTGGTATACGATATTGATGAGACTTACCTTAAGCATTTTAGGGGGGAGTTTTTAACCCATAATCAGAAGAACATGGCTTTTACATTTGAACACAGCAATTCCGCTGTTACATTTTTAGATTTGAAAATGTATCTGGATGATATTAAAATTAAAACTACTTGAGTCTCCTGTTCGTAAGAGAGACTCCACCGTGGGAAAAGACTGCTACCCCCAGCAGCATGGACAAGATAGTTATCTAAAAGTCATTTTACCACTAGCTAAGGGAGCGTGGGAAGCCATCATTCTTACCTTGGTTCATGTAGGTCCAGAAGGGTAACGGCAAAAATTGGAGCTGCTGCAGGTTCCAGGAGCTCCGGCATTGCGTCCCCGGAATCGAGATGGCTGCCACATCTTTCACTAAGGGTTTAACTGTGTGTCTCGCGCATGCATGGTGAGCAAATTCTAGTAGAGGGAGAACTCGAGTGGTATAAAAGCATAATGCGGCAGGGAAATTACTCGGGAAATTCAAAGTTTAATAAACGTTTGGAAGTGTAGCCTGCTTATACATCCTGCCTATATCTTTAAGGTTAGTTGGGTTTTTATATTGTTTTATAGGCATTTAGTAGTAGTAGTATTTGTAGCGAATCCCTGGGCACCTAGACCAGTTACCTCCGCTAGTTCCCTTACTTCAGCAGATCAGGAACTTTTACATGGTTAGGGGACATAGCTCTGTGCGCTCCCAGGAAGGGACCAGCACTCACTCCTGAAATCTCCTAGTTCTTACATGGACTTTCCCCGCTAATTCCTCCATGCTGAACTGTGATTAACCCTTTCCCCTTCCAGTAACCAGACGACACATAGTTCTGGGTGTACAAGCTGGAATGCTTTTATACATTTCTGAACACAGACAAGCACGCCCATGATACTCACACAGAAACAGGATGATCCCTCCACTCTGCCTGGAAGATAATTGAGTCAGGAACTGTTCTAAACTCAATTTTATTAATGACACGGAGGGGAGTATTCTGCACTCTTTATTTCCCTCAGAAGCAAAGAAAGTTTTTACAACATAACCAGTATATAACATTAACAGTCTGAGAGTAGTATCTCCGTAGCAACAGGAACTGTCAATCAGGTTCCTCTCTCCAGCATAATAGGTTTTGTCAACCAACCCTATTCCTCTTTCTTTGCTGCTCCCTCAGTTAAGTAACATCAGGTTCCATGGTTTCTTAACTGTGGGACGATATTTCTTATAATATTATTATTGTCATTATTGCATTTATATTTGTGATTATTATTGTGTATAATATTGTGATTAATAACTACTCCTTGCAGTTAACACATTTTTCTCGTGTTAATAACTGTCAGTTTCAGATGCTCTATATTGGCTTTCCTGAGCTGTTTTTAGTTCCAGCTTCCCTCTCCTCCCCCACTTCCCCCCCCCGTCAGACCGTCATTCACTGAATGCAGGCGCGCGCACTCTTCATTTGATGAAATCGCCTTCATACCTCCTACTCTGCGACACCCGCTCTGGTATTAGGTAGCTTTTATTACCGCGATTTCACGGGTTCATACGAACACTCCTGCGTCCCTTTCAGGACTTTCGCGTTCGCGGCGGCCATTTTATTGGTTTCCCGTGTTGTTTCTGTAATACTGCTCCCAACAGCTGGATCTAGGAGTTGGGGCTTAGTATTAGTGGCGGTCGGACGGCTCTCTGCTTTACCTTATAATCTTATTACTATTCGCTGTAAGTACTGATTTATTTCTTCCTACTAGCTGTTTCCCCTTTGGGTTACTCAACCCTCTATTAGGTTATTTACTCTAGTGATTTTATTGCTTATTTACATATCACTATGTCTTCTGACAAGAATACTCCCACCCCCTCTGGGTTTCATACCCCAAACCAAGGTAGCTCTAAAGCACCTTCAGGAGTATTTATTGATAAGGTAATAACCCCAATGGAGTTTGATACCTCTGCAGAAATGCAAAATATGATTGACAAAACTATGTCACAAGCCATGACTAAAGCCCTTATATCGGCTATGGGTCTTATGTCTGACTCCCTATCACAGACACTTGCGCATGCCTTGATTCAGGCACAGAAATCGGCTCAGCCGACTGATACCCAAGCTTTGCCGGTCACAACCCCTGTACAACCTCAGACTGGCCGCAAAGCCTTAGCTAAAGTAAAACACTCCTCAATATCACAGATGGACAGCGATGCACCTGTCACAGATGGCCGAATAATCTGCCACCGTGCAAATGAGCCACTAGCCGGGCAAAATCCCACTTAGATTCTGAGTCTGATCTCAGCGATATTGAAGAGGAGGCATATATGGATTCAGATCTCGGAGCAGCGCAACACCCCAGCCTTCTTCCCACAACGTGGGCGGCCATGGGTTGCTCGAGGACCACGAAGTGCTCACTCAGGACGACGACCTTATGGTAAGTCCTTTCAAACTTCTTTCTTCCCTACGGGCAGTGGGGGGCAGACTCAGTCATTTTTTTTTTTCATGTATGGTCTCACATTTCATCAGATGCTTGGGTACTGAACACTATAAAAGGGTATGTAATAGATTTTCTCTCTATACCGAGACAACATTCCTCACCACGGAAAATCAGTTTTTCCCAACAAGACGCGACCCTTGTTACCAAGGAGGTTCGGAACTTAGAAAAGAAACGGGCCATATCAGAAATCCCTATGGCCACAACAGGCTTTGTGAGCAACCTATTCCTAGTTGCCAAAAAAGGTGGTGGTGTCCGCCCAGTGATCAACTTGAAACAACTCAACGCTTACATATCCTACAACCATTTCAAAATGGAGGGGATACATTGTGTAAGAGATCTCCTACAACCATCGGATTGGATGGTGAAGTTAGATCTTCAAGACGCTTATCTTACAGTGCCGATTGCCCTGCAACACCAGGACTTCCTGCAATTCATATGGCAGGGAAGGAAATGGAGATTCACCTGCCTCCCATTCGGACTGTCCTCAGCCCCATGGTGCTTCACCAAACTTATGAAGCCAGTAGTCTCCTTACTACGAAGTCGAGGAGTACGTCTCATAATCTACTTAGACGACATCCTCACCATGGGACAGTCTACCCAACACTACTACAAAATCTAGGCTTCCTCATCAATTGGGAGAAATCCATTTTGGTCCCCACACAACACATAGAGTTCTTGGGTCTCATCGTGGATTCTACGCTTCAGACCCTACACCTACCAACAACAAAACTGAACAATATCAAGAAGGAAACCAGACGCACGCTGGCGACTCTCCAGCTTTCTCTCAAACAATTGGCGAGAGTGATAGGTGTCCTCGCAGCCTCCATACAAGCCATCTTCCCG